TCTGATCTGAACTACAAGAAATGTTAAAGTTCTTCAGACACAAGGAATATGATACCAAACTTGGAGGCACAAAAAAAATTTAAAGATTTTCAAAAATGGGTAAAATGAAGGTTTGAAATTTGCTATGTTTAAAAACAAGGGTATGTGGTTGGGCGTGGTGGCTCAAGCCTGTAATCCTAGCACTCTGGGAGGCCAAATCAGGAGGATTGCTTGAGTTTAGGAGTTGGAGACCAGCCTAAGCAAGAGTGAGATCCCGTCTCTACCAAAAAGAAAGGGAAAAAAACCCCAGCTGGGCATTGCGGCACATGCCTGTAGTTCCAGCTACCTGGAGGCTGACTGAGGCAGGATAGCTTAGAGTCCAGGAGTTGACGGTTGCTGTGAGCTACGATGACGCCACTGCACTCTAGGACAGAGTGAGACTCTGTCTCAACAACAGCAACAACAAAAAAAACAAGGCAACTCAACATCCCTCCTCACAATCCCCTACCCTTTAAAAAAAAATTTTGTAAAAACAAGGGTGTGACTATGTGCATATAACGACATCACATTACATGGCCTTTTTACACACTCATACAAGGTTAATAATCTAAAAAGCAGAATTACAATTTTTAGTACTTCTACTGGACCATTGAAAAATAATTCTAAGTCAGACCACAACTGGCATCTACCTCATTTGTATTATATTCATATTCTTAAAGTTAGGGAGAAACAACATTGAACACTTTCCCATGCCTTCCTACATTTTGCACAGCAAAGATATCTAACTTTTAAGCTGCCATAATCTCTCTTATAGAAGTCCTGGTACTAAGAACTTGTCATAGACTCCACATTCACTATGATCCCTAATAGCTAAACCAGGGCCTTCCAGTGAATTTGAAATGCTCTAGTTAAGGTGTGTATTTTTTAGTAAATAAACCTGTAAAAAGTTCTAACCTAAATTTCCATGTTAATTCAAATGAAGCTGTTGAGTAAATATATTTGTAGATAACAGTAACACACAAAGTAAGTGATTTGTTATAACCAATTAGATCAAATCAGTTGCCACTGGAGGGTGTCAGCAGTAATAGGGCAGGCGGGGTGGGCCAAGGCCCAATTAAGTAGAAAAGGGTCTGACAAATATGAATTAGGCCAGTCAGGAAGAATTAGGAAGATATAGAAAGATCAGACAGGCAATAGCAACGATCTAGATTTAAGACAAAAAGAGTCAACTAGGTCTCAAATATAGAGGCAGGTAGAGTCCAAAGCCCTGGAAGTCAGATTTTACCCAGGTAAAATCTATTAATAAAGGCAAAGACTGAATGCTCCCTGTCCCCTTTGTATACTCTGTGCTGTTTTTCTCCTCACCAGGATAGAGGTGCAAAGCTGCCCAAAAGATTCTTATGGTAATATACTAACAGTATTACTTAATGTTATGAATCTTTCCTTGATATACCAAGTTTTTGTAGACATGGTTTCAAAGTAATGGAAAATGTGTACAAAAAGGTTACAGCCAATTATACTAAGCTACTTGACTTTCAGATAATATTCTTAAGCATTTCTTTGGTTCTTCAAATAAATACGGGGCACCACATAAAGAACTTGAGATTCAAAGACAGGGAAGATAGCCCCTGTCCTCAGTGAACTCTAGTTTAGTGGAA